GGAAGACTTTGAGGAGAAAGCCCTGCTTAGTTCTCCCATAAATCCAAGATTCTACAAGCGGTACGTAGACGACACTTTCACAATTCTACCTTTAGATAAAGTAACTGCATTTTTAGACTATCTTAACTCTATAAATTCTAAAATTCAGTTCACAATGGAGTTAGAGGCAAACAATTCCTTAGCTTTTCTAGATGTGTTAGTAATTTGGAATCCTGATAACACCTTGAGCCATAGACCACCACAAAAAATTTTTTTTTTTAAAACCCCCCCCGGGGGTTTTTCCGGAGAAATTTTTTATACTGTGTATAGAGGGGTAAAAAGACCCATACAGATAGATATTTAAACGGTGATTCTTACCACCATCCTTCTCAGTTAGCTACCGTGGGTAAATTTTTGTTTCAGAGAGCACAAGGGATCTGTGACAGTAAACACCTGGCTGCCGAGCTCCACCATGTCAAGCAAGTTTTGCATGACAACAAGCTTCGAGTCCCGCGCCTACGTCACAGTGAACGAGTGAAGCCGGCCACAGTCGAGCGTGTACCTGCTGTACTGCCATATGTTAGAGGAGTCACTGACAAGTTTGGCTACATCTTGAAGCGCGCTTCCATCAAAACGTACTTCAAGCTGTTGAAGAAGATTGGTCAGTTTTTACCATCAGTCAAGTGTAATGTTCCTCTGCAAGATGCAGGAGTGTACAAGCTTGATTGTGAATGTGGTCTCTCCTACATAGGACAAACTAAAAGATCAATAAAAACCCGCATTAAAGAACATATAGCTGATGTGAAGAATCGACGCTCCGGGAAGTCTGCAGTCTGTGAACACGTACAGGATCGCCCCCGTCACTACATCAGATTTTAGACCGCAAATCCTCGCTAAAGAACTCTGATTCCTTCCAAGAATGATTCGCGAGGCTATTGAAATCAAAAAACATCCTAATTTCAATAGAGAAGATGGCTGGATGCTACCATCTGCTTGGGATCCTATAATAAATAAAATTAAATCCCAATCCAAGCATACAACTGCAAGACTTCAAGATACCATAAGTTCATACTGTATAGATCGGAACAAAAGTTAAATTTTAATCTATGGTAACCGCGGTTAACTATGACATCATCATCATCATCATCATCATTACAGCCCTTCACAAGTCCACTGCTGAACATAGGCCTCCCCCAAGTAATGCCACAAAGCACGGTCCTGAGTCACCTGCATCCATCGACTTCCTGAATGTCTTACCAGGTCGTCACTCCATCTAGTGGGGGGTCGCCCTACACTACGCCTACCGGTACGAGGCTGCCACTCGAGAACCTTTCTTCCCCATCGGTTATCGGTTCTTCGAGCTATATGGCCGGCCCATTGCCACTTCAGCTTACTAATCCGTTGGGCTATGTCGGTCACTCTGGTTTTACTGCGGATATCCTCATTTCTGAGTATCACGCAGTGAAACTCCGAGCATAGCCCTCTCCATAGCTCGCTGAGCGACCTTGAGCGTCCTCATACGGCCAGCGGTGAAGGACCACGTCTCAGATCCGTAAGTCATCACTGGCAACACGCACTGGTTATACACTTTAGTTTTCAGAGATTGAGGTATACCTGACGAGAAGATTGTCGTAATTTCCCGAACGCTGCCCAACCGAGTTGAATCCGTCGATTGACCTCTCGTTCGAAGTTGGACTAATCTAGTCGGACTATTTGTCCCAGGTAAACGTACTCGTCGACAACTTCGAGCATAGTGCTCCCAACAACTACCGGCATAGGTGTGACATGGACATTAAACATGATCTATGTTTTGTCCATGTTCATCTTAAGACCTATCCGTTGGGAGACACCATTGAGGTCATTGAGCATAGTGCTAAGGTCCTCCAGCGATTCTGCCATAAGGACTATATCGTCGGCAAATCGAAGGTGAGTGATGTACTCGCCATTGATGTTAATACCGTATCCTTTCCAGTCCAGTAGCTTGAAAACGTCTTCCAACGCAGCGGTGAAGAGTTTCAGGGATATAACATCACCCTGTCTTACACCTATCTGCAGTTGGATAGGTTTGGAACTCTGGTTCCGTACTCAGATAGCCATCGTAGCCCTACTGTACAAACACTTCAGCACTTCGATATACCGACAGTCAACTTGGCACCGCTGAAGGGACTGTAGCACCGCTGAAGGGACTGTAGCACCGCCCAAATTTCGACGGAATCAAAGGCTTTCTCATAGTCCACATATGCCAGGCAAAGTGGCAGATTGTACTCCTCGGTCTTCTGTACAATCTGCCGCAGGGTATGTATGTGGTCTATGGTACTGAATCCTTTTCGGAAACCGGCTTGTTCGGGAGGCTGGAAGTCGTCGAGTCTGCGTGCGAGACGATTCGTAGTGACTCTCGAAATCAGCACGTAGACGCGGCTCAGAAGGGAAACCGGTCTGTAGTTCTTCAAGAGAGCGTTGTCGCCTTTCTTAAAGACAACCGCGCTTCTGCTCCACGCCTCCGGAGTAGTGCCACCATGGAGAACGGAATTTTGAAAGAGCATTTGAAGAACTTTAAGTAACGTTGTTCCACCCGCTTTCAGAAGCTCCGCAGTAATTCCATCCTCGCCCGGGGCCTTGCCGTTTTTAAGGTGGTGGAGAGCCATTCTAATCTCGCTCAGACTGACGTCCGGTATATCATCAGAATAGTGTCGGATAAGACTTGCTCTTGGATCGTTACTTACACTTGCATGTGGCTCCAACGATCATGTGTACAGCTGCCCATAGAACCTCTCAATCTCACTCAAAATCTCAGGTGTCTCGGAAACGATGCTGCCACTCAGTATTCAGCTTTGACAGTTGGCTCTTTCTGGCAGACAGATCTCTGGCAAAGACTTTGGAGCCCTGGTTCTGCTCGATCGCTTCTTTAATACGAGCAGTATTAAAGTTGCGTAAGTCTCGCCGCATGCATTTGGACATCTGTCAGTTCAGTTGCCTGTATGCTGTCAAATCTGTTGACGATTGCAGCCTCATCTCTACTACTAACTATGACATATGGACGTTGAACATCTTAGTACCGCCCGTGACCATGAGTGCTGTAAAGCGTTCGAAACGTCGGGTATTTAAAAAGTTAAATATACGCGATAAAATCCGTAAAAACTAGTATTATTTCAATGTGTAGTGTTCGCGTAAATATAAGAAATTATTATGTTTATTTATTATATAATATTAACAATTATTATTTAAAACGTAAAATTTATGACAGTAAAAAGTGGAATAAAAAAAAACAAATTAATGTAGGCACTATTGCAAAAATGTGTATGTATGTGTGTGTGTGTGTGTGTGTGTTTGTGTGTGTGTGTGTGTGTGTGTGTGTGTGTGTGTGTGTGTGTGTGTGTGTTTGTGTGTGTGTATGCTGCTAACTCTTATGAGGCCATCTATGAGGAGGCCTATGTTCAGAAGCAGACTGATAGAGGCTGTAATAAATGAATGATGTTGGTTTCTATTTATAGTTGCGGCATGCTATGATGGCCGTTTTGACGTTTGTCCACTCATAAAGTTATGTATTAATTAAAATTATATTTGAAGGAACAAATTGCTGTTCTTTATTGTCAATAGTGACATGCAGTTAGTCATACAATTTATCCAAAGTATTATTATAGGACACAAAATTTATTTATTACTTTGATTTCTGAACTATGTATATTAGGGTCCAGCAAACATTTATTTTTTATTTTTATAAAATTATAATTATTGGTGTACTTATTTACCACTCAACTCAGTATTTGTTTTTTGAAATTCAAAATTTTTAAAAATGAAATTTTATATGATCGTCACATACGATCGCTGGCCACACAACTACTACCTCCGGCAAACTCACGTCAATGCTCCATGCAAAACAAAGCAGTTTCGACTTGATGTTGCTTCTTAAACAGCTGTTTGATTAGGTACTACTTGCAATAAAAACTTATAGATTTCATTATATTTTTTTCAAGAATAAATTGACATTTCACTATTGTAATATGTCAAAACGGCCATCATAGCGTGGCGCAACTATGAATGGATTAATTTGCAAATAAAAATAATTCATTATTGTTTGTATGGATGCTTAGCTAGGACCTAACCATTTAGACACAATAATTCATCCTTTGTGCTAAGCAATACAGCTACAAGTGTTATTTGTGAAATCAGAGGTTTCACTACTTCATCAGCCAGGAACTCCAAATTACAAGACTATCACAAGGGAGCATTAATTATTTATTATTTATTTTCATTTACACACATATCAACCATAATATGAAAATTTGAAACGTAAATTGAATGCCTCATTGGTCTAGTGGTTGTTAATGCAGTTGCTGATCGTGAGGTCCTAAATTCGAATCCCATGTTCAAGCCAAAATTATTGGGTCTTTCTGTCAAAAATTTCTCAGCAGTAGCTCGGGGTCAGGAAGTGAGCGGTGATTCAGCCCCATGCTTTAAAAAGCATATTAAATCTGTAGATCCTGCGCTTAATCTCTCTCTGTGTTCTTTTGCTGTCCTATCAAACTATAAGATTTGTGGGAATAGAGAGTGCACCTTTGCTTGTGCATACATATGAGCACTATAATTCTATTCTGTGCAGATGGTTAAGCTCCACTAAGACTGGCTGCCATGACAGAAATTTGGTCTGGAGAACATTATTAATATGAAAAAACACTAACTGTTTTCCAAGCTGATGTTGTGATTTTTCAACCTACTGCATCTAAGTATCATAGTGGCTACTAAAGTGACTATACAATGTACTGGTAATATTGCATAAGCAATACATTAGGCATTCGTCGGTTTAGAGGAGTGATGCCTTGTTTACATGTTCACTTGGAGAACACAAAAATTTTAAACAATAAAGATAATATAAGTATAATATAATCAAGAACAAATATTAATTTACAGTTTAGTTTTTTTAGAAAACCTTAAAATTTGAAGTCTAGAAAGCTTTGTATTTTTTCTATTGATTGTGATCAATAAAAGATACAATTATGTAAAAAAAATAAAGTGTAACTCACCAGTCCTTGATATTTAAAAGAGTCATAGACTGATCTCAGCATCATCCAAAATGGCCAAAGGAACTCAAATCTGAACTCCAGCATATAGTCAGCCATGACAACTGTTGCCCATAACATTACAAACTTTAGATAGAGCAAAGAACTGAAAAGAAAATTATTTATTTTATTCAAACTTCATTCAATTTCTTAACTGGACTGTACAATTAGAATACAAAAATTCATTAGTTCTTTAAAAATATTTTTTTTTTCAGATTTAGTGCTGATAATGCTAACTCCTAAACAGCAAACATTTGCACAATATTAGTGATAAACCATTTTAAATAAATACAGACAAATAAATACTTATTTTTTTCATTTTAAATCCCCCTGTGTGATTCTCGCAATGTTTTTAAAATGTAATTTATTTTTATGTATATCGCGCAGTCAATATAAAATCTGTCCTTGAATATACGGAAGTGGCAAAAGATTGTTTTTCATAAACAAATAAAATGAAAGGCTGATGATATTTAATTGTATGTGAAACTCATGTGAGGCGCACATTTTTCGAATAAATAAACGTTAGAGACACATGTGAACTATGTATATTTTTTGTATTTTTATCATCTCACCAGGTAGATGTACCATTGGTATCTGCAGATGGTACTTTCTACCCACACATTTTCGTGTCTCCTGTACTTTAACGTGATTTCTCTTTAAAGTTCATTGTTAGCAATGATACAATTTCTTCTTATAAAGCCGGAAAGTAATTTATTTATAAGAAAAACCACGTCCACTCACTTTCCATACATTCCCTCGGTGATTTTTGTGCGCTTTATGGGGCGCCGCATTTTGCCAGTATCGGCATTTCGCCTCTTCATATTTTTTCCTCCACGATGTAAATTACGAATGCAGGCTCTTGGTTCACAACACTTAATTACATAAAAACATTTAAAACAACAGTGATCATACAGTAGTACTTTTTGTTGTCAATCGGCCTATGTATGTATGTCCAGAATTTACTTTACGAGGGAGATGAAATATCGGCAAACTCTTTTTCTTTTTGCGTTCACTCATGTACGTACAGTGTTGCTATGTATTTACCAAATGACCCAAGAATATATTATGCTATTTGCTATGATTATTTCATTCCCTAATAATTAAGAATAATAATGTTCTCGTCAAAGCGTAATAAATTCTTTGTATCATTAGCACATTTATTTTCCTTTGAAAAATACTCTCAGACATTGCCTTATCTGTATCTGTATATTATGCACATAATAAATCACTCACGAATTCACTAACCACCTCACATCACTATTAGATTATTTTACAATATAAAGTTAGTGTATATGTTAACTTTTAAGCTAGTACACTACGATAAAAATCGTGATTTTATTGCAAGGTCAGCAACTTATAAAGCAACTTATAACCTTTTATCTCTCGGAAGTCAAAATACGTTTTTTCGTCTTTCAGAAAAATATGAGGAAATATCTTAAAATAGCACGACAGGTAGAAAATTATCAATCTTTTTTTGTAAAGGAAACTGGTTATATATAATTTGTTTAAATTTAAAATACAATTATTGAAAGTAAAGGTAATAATGTTCCAATTTCAAATTTCTCTCTACATTTTTAGAGCTAAATTAAAATATCATTCAAAGAATACATACACATATTATGTACTACGTTTAAATAATCTTTCATTATAAATTAGATATAATAAAAAATAAAAACTTCAATCGAATCAAGCTATAATCGAACTCCAAAAAAGTTCAATTTTTTATGTTTGTGGAAATTATTTTGTTCCTTTTAGTTCCTTAAAGCCTTTTTAGTTTTTGAACGAAACGTTTACGATATTTTACACGAAAATCTTTGAGTGAGGATAGTTTCGGACAGATTGTTCGGATTGATTTGGAACACTATATCGATCCAAAAACCTCTTGAATCGGAATGATTCATGAATAAGTGATAAAGTTCCTAAACTGGCTGCAGTATATTACTTTTTTGCTGTTGTAGGACGCAAAATCAACCAATCATAGGTACTTGGTTGATAATTTGAACGCAACAAATAAATATTTATGAACGTATCCAAAGATGTCATTACTTACTTTTTTTAATAGAATAAGGGTGACAAGTGAGCACACAGTCCACCTGATTGTTAGTGGGTGTTTCGGCTCCTAGACATCTACATTTATCCTCGATTAATAATCAACATACAGTGCGTTGCCACCCCTGAGAACTAAGATCAAATTCCACGTTTCCAGTAAAAATGTTCTCCGGTTCTCAACACTAACCATATGAAACACTTGATGCTGGTATTCTATAAGAGCGTGGATCTTCCTCGGTTGAGCCGACCCTTTCACGCTACAACTAATATAGCTGCAGCGTTGCTACCACGTATAATATAATATGTTATGTTACTTTCTTATAAAAAAGTTGTCAGTTATCATTGTCATTTCTAATCTAATGAATCCTGCTGTCTAACCTAATCTGTGCTATGAATTTATTTTATTTATCAAAAACATAATGTGAGTAAATACTATTTGTTGAAGTTAATAACTGAACTTGTTTCTGAAATAAACAGTATTATGTTCGTGTAGCATTCATTTTTTGATTTATCGAGGAATATACGTTGCAGTTTGCACTTTTATTAATATTATTGTTCTTATAATATGTACTATTATAAAAAATATTATTATAGGCATGATTGAAAATGTCGCAATTAATCAAAAATCGATCTTTTCATGATCGATTTAATCAAGAAGAAGAAAGAAGATTCTAGTATGTTCGATTCCAATCGAATCGGAGATCTGTATTTTTAAGTAAATCGATATGCCCAGTACTCAGCGGCTGCCAGACAAGTAGGCATATCGATCTGAAATCGATTAATGGAAAAATCGATTTCTTGTACGAAAAAGATTGATTTTTTTAATTGATAAATGTACTAAATCGATCAAGTGAATCGATATTTCACCCTAGAACCATTCTAAAATCGAGATCGAATATTTTTCCGGTTTCATAAGAACTATAAAGTTATTAACAATTAGTTGAATATACGAGAACTCGTAAAGAACGACAGTTTTTCTATTTAAAATCTAGAAAAACTGCTGTGTGCTTAGTTACTTTCGCCTCTTTTCAATGGATTCAAGAAATAAAAATAAGTTACGTTTGTAATCTGTACTTTGTACGAATCTAAAATCAAATCGACCTCGATTTTTAGTGAATCGATTCATCAGATATTCATTTGAATCGGATTTAAAGTCGATCTTTTTCGGAGAGAATCGACATCCCTACAGGCAAGTCTCCGCTAAGAGCAATGATGCCAGATACACTGTAATTACAGTTAATCCGCCGTATTTTCAAGCCATTGACTGGATACTGTATTTTTATAAATTATAGATACAGTGTATGGAGACAAAGTATTTTTTGCAACAAAAAACAAGACTATATTTTATAAGTAGTTAAATTGTGAAAAGATATCGTATATCACGAACAGTAAATGAAGTTTGATATGCCATAGTGTAGTTTTATAATTATGGATATAATATAATATAATTATTAATTATATTATATTATATATATATTATAACTATGGAGTGTAGAGGTAAGGAGTACAGACTCTGTATAAAAAAATGTCCGTAGGAAAGCACTAAATAGGTGGCGCCACTGTAGCTACAGCCTAAATTTTAAAGTTCTTTTTATAATTTTTTATTGCACGGACTTTTGCCATAATTCTTTTTACATTAATTATTTTATTGCTTCCAATATTTTTATTTTCATAATTACTCTCAACTTATTTTACGGCGATTTATCATACCCTGTAGCTACTCGAGCGCTGTTGTGGAGGGTTTTTGAACAGTTATTTACTGCTTACAGAAGAACACATTTACAACTATTCTCCTACGGGAGATTGTCCTCCTTACCTATATACTCCATGGTATTGACATTATATACCTAATATGTGTCATTCAAATTGTCTGGTATTGGATTGTATTGACACCAATTTCTTTCGAGCAACAACAAATAGACGATCAATGGCAGAATTTATATAAAATAAAATAAAAATTAGATACAACCCAATGTACTTTGGCACAAGGTAAAATTTTAATTCAATTTCATTCTTATCAACTACAAGTTTTGAGCGTTATATACATATTTTTCTTATTGTAGTGAGCGGGTGGAGCTCCCATGGCGCAAGAAAACGATTCTTTGAAATCTATCTCCTGCGTAACCCGTAGGCCAAGTTATAAAATTTTTTCAGCAATATTTGTAGTTGAACGCAGACGAGGTTTATAAACAATAAAAATCTGAATTTGTATTTTTTTTTCTTTTACTATCTAATGAATTCGTTAATATACATCTGCGCAATGTCACACTAGAGTGAATGAAGATATCGACGAGAGTTTAACTCTTCCAAATTCTAATGCCGAGTATTTTTTATATTTATTTTCTACCAACTGTCAAAATGGTGACATCTTTTAACTCAGCATAAAAGGTGTGGTAAGTTTAAGGATATTATGTTTAAAAGAAATGCATATTTTACATAACTCCTTTATTATAGGACATGTAATTAGACTGTAAAATACACTGTTTTTTTTTTTTCATCAAACACTGTAACTTTAACTTTCTCGAAAACCCCATATTTTAATGTGGACGACACGGTGTTTTCGACAATTTGATGTGGCAACACTGGATAGGATTTAAAACTCAGAACAATAACTAAAGCATAAAAGTTACGTTAGTACTCTTATTAATTTGTGCATAGAAGTCGTAGACAGAGAAACCTATAGACTAATGATTAGCGTGGCCTCGAGTGAGAAAGGACGATAACGTGGTTTTAGGTTATGCAATAATCTTTATGACTTTTAAACATATTTAGATAAAAATTTTAATTGTTCTAAGAACTGAACTGAACAAGATTTACCAATATGAAGCTCACAAAACACTTTTTTCTCACTTAAACAAACTTGTAAACTTCTTAGATCGCTACGAACTGTCAAAGTTGTTTAGCAAAATGTAGTTTGCTAAACAAAAAAACCGGTACGGAGAAAGGGACAAACCAAAACAACGCACACAAAAAAAAAAAAAAAAAAAAAGTGTTTTGTGAGCCTAAGATTGGTGAATCTTGTTCAGTTCAGTTCTTAGAACAATTAAATTTTTTATCTAAATGTGTTTAAAAGTCATAAATATTATTGCATAACCTAAAAATTCGTTATCGTCCTTTCTCACTCGAGGCCACGCCGATCATTAGTCTATAGGTTTCTCTGTCTACGGCTCTGTCTCATTTCTATGCAAGACGTTTGTAGGTTTCTCTGTCTACGATAGAAGTAGTACTAGTTGTCATAAACAAAAGAGTATTAACTAGTGATGTACCGGTAAAAATAATTATTGCCGATATCGGTACTGGTCTATGGTAAAATCATGAAAGTGTGGAATCATATCCTCAGCTTTATGATATGTTGTCTGTGAGCTTCAGAGTTTAATATCTCAACATGACTATCATCATTATTCATAATACTAGGGCGGCGCGGCGGGTGGGGCCGTAATTTCAGTAGCGTTCGAGCTTTTAAATTTTTTTTAACCAATCTACTGAAAAAACACGGAATGTTAGTGAATCTTGGCCCTTGAAAAACTTTAATAAAATCACAGAGTATTACTTATACAAATGGGAAATAGTGAGATTAATCAATACAACAATAAAAATTAAAAAGTTATTTATTTTTTATAATTTTACACAAAATCTATGTACAACACATTATAATACGAAACAAATAAATAAACTATTGTCCTTTAAAAATTATTATTTTATTTAAAAATGTCCCAATTATTTCTTTAGGAGCAGAAAACTTTTGGTAATGTAGTGAATCCTAATTTTTAAA